CCCCATGATCATGCGATCAAAATTCAGATGCTTGGCAACTGATTTCTGCTGATCTCTGACTGTAAAAAAATGGATTGATTGGTAACTGATTTGTATTTTTAAAGGTTGCAGTGTCTCAGGATCATGTGACTACCTTTTGCAACCTTTTGATAAGCAAAGTCAATGAGGAAGCCAAATTCACTTAACCACCATGTTACTAACTTAACAACTGCAGTGATTTGGTTAACAACCGTAGCAAGGAAGATCATAAAATGGGGCAAAATTCACTAACAATTGTCTCACTACATGTATTGGTATCATACACTCTTCTTCTGGATAGTCAGTTTGCTATAGTCCTAGGTTTTGGCTAGGTTTCTCTGACTTTAATTGAATGATCACATTTTAAGCAAATATAGTTATAATTATATTATAAGCTGAACACAATTATATGAAATAGGCTGATATTTCATGGGCTGTCCCTGTTTTATTTAAATAAGGCAGACACCTAAATTCCACTGATACTTTTCTTTAAGTGGATTCATATGCTCCACCTTCAGTGTCATCATTTCCCAACATGCACTATTTCAGATTTATTAGTCTTCTAGCCACATCACGTATTTAGTCTATTATCCATAGCTTGCAAGATGATAAAGAAAAGTCTAAAATTGCAGAAATAGACCTAAGTATTGTAAAATGAAACGACTAAACTATGGCAAGAAGCAACTGATGAAAAAGATACTCAGATTTTTTTATGGAAAAAAATCTTGGCATAAACTTGAGAACATAAAATATGGTTCAGTCGTTTTAACCAACACACTGTCCACTCAGTAGAGTTTATACTGCAAGGAAATTGTTGGATGTACAAATAGTTTATATGGGCAAAATAGGTACCCTGAGTTTTGATGGGCAAAACAACATGAACAAAAATTCATAAATGCCTGTAAATCTGCAGAAGGAAGAAGTGCATTTCATACTGAATTGATACAACAGGAAGTACATTTGCTGCTATTTTTAAGTATACTACAGTATACTGAATATATTACAGCAAAGTAGTAAAAGTTATAACAAACTGTAAAATTAAATGTTCATATACAGATTTATCATAAATGATGCTACAGGCACCCAAAATATGAAAAAAATTAGAAGAAATGGAAAAAACAAATTAAATTTAAAATATTGCTGGATACTGAATTTAGTTCATCTGTGTTTTTCTTTTTATTCAGAATCTGGAAAACAAAAAAGAGGATTTGTCTTTTCAGTTCTGAAACTCTTCCTTCTTGCTCCATCACTTTAATTTTTCTATTTATTTGCCTCCTTTGCAATTTTAGAAAAAGGTTCAGTTATTAGATCAATTAAAAAAAAAATTCTGCTTATTTCTGATATGTATGTATGTATGTATGTATGTATGTATTGTGTCACAACCCCTGGTATGCCCAAATATGGGAGGAAGCATACTGCTTCAAATGCAACACATATATGTACGTACATACATACATACATATACATATGTACACACTTGATTTTATTTTTTATAATCATATTTATAATATAAATATTATTTCTTGAAGAAAGCTAAAGTGTGATTAAATAGGTTTAATATAATGTAAATCTACCTGTCTAATGAGTACTGGTATATTATAATTTAAATTGTTCAGTTGTAAATCAAATCCACGTTGCTAAAATTTTCAAATCAAAAACATGTAACATCATATTACAATGGATACATTTTGGTATAGGTTAATAACAGAAACTTCTGTATTTTTAATATACAGATTAACAACAATTAAAAACTATTATTTATAGAACATGCTATATTAATTTAACTCTCAAGAAAGCCAACTTATCTTTGAGGGCTCCAACTCCAAATATTTAGTATTATGACTTAAAGGATTGGATATTTTTTTTACTGGCACACTTTTGAAGACAGAATGCAAAAATCATCAAGAATTACCATCATCACACATTTTTCTGGGCATTATCTGAAAACTGTAAAGCCCTCCTTTCTAATAACGTGAACACAAGCATCATCTATTTTAAAAAAAATACCGGATGTTTTTTTTTTATTTTAAGCTATAGTTATCAGGAACAACACCACAGATTTGAAAGCTAAACTAAGAATGTCATTCTTCATCTACAATCTGTTCCAATTGAAATAAACAAATTTACCATCAGGTATTCCTGAAAAAGGCCCAACTGAGCTAGAAAGGTACAGTACAGCTTAGAAAAGTGAGCAATCCTCCTGTATAGGAGGTCCCAAGGTATCACATATGGATCTTCTAGCAAAGATGTTTCTTATTTTACAAGAAAAAAAATTAATTTCATTTATGTGAATTAAGACACTAAAATATTCTTGTATGAATATGTTCATTTTCCCCATGCGGCAAGCCTGGCTGCATCAAAATAAATTTATCCTCAGTAGCTTCAGGCACTAACGGGAGTAGGTCAGACACACCCAATTCCCACAGAAAGCAACATGCAATGCTTACCTCTATGCATCCATTCCTAAAATTTCTTGTTTCATTGCATCTGCCCCAGTTATTTTAATGAATGAGCTTCAATATAACCTCATTTTTTTTTCTTTTACAAGTTTCAGAAGCAAACTGACTCAGCATCAAGAAGCATAAACCTTAAGTTTCCTTTTTAAGGAGCTTTGTTGTTATTTATAGTCAGTGAAAAGGACTACTTTCAAGCTAAAGTCCAATTTCATGCTATTTCCCAGGTTGTTAATGTCGTACAAGACAGCAGCTTAAGAAGTTGGATTGTTTTTTTGTTTTTTTTTTACTTGTTAAAACCTGAAATATATATGCTAAGATATTTTTGAAAATACATCCTTGTGTCATAAAATAACATGAAAACTGCAAAGCTCTTTCTTCTGTGGATGAAAGTAATAATGATGATACTTGCCAGCTCAAATATATGCAACAAAACAAAATTCATTCTTCTAAAGTACTGACACTCAGTCTCTTCAACTCTTCCTCTCCTTCATTTAAATCTCTCCAACAGCTAATTGCAGTATGACACTGATATGATACATCCAATTCCCTCCCACATCAAAAGGCCTCAGTACATCCTTGTGACTTTTTTAAAGCATCATTTACTAAGTAGTCTTTTGCTATTTTTTTCTGTTTTTTGATAGCCATAACAGTTATTTTTATGACTAATGAACAAATAAGCTTTCATTACATCTAGAATACTGTGAATAGAATACTTCTTTATTTCCCACTGGTTCTATTTCTTTCATATTTTAATGTATATTGTTGTTTTAAAAACTACGTCATGCATACATTTCTAAACAAGTTATTCTAAGAGGGTATTTTAAGCATACATTGCATTCATTATTTTACCATCTTAGCCCACGTTAGTAGATTAGGCTGAAAGACAATGAGAAGAGCTATCTATCTCTATCCGTCCAACTATCTACCCACCCACCCACCTATACCACAGGATGTGATTAGGTCCATACTATTGTAGTTATTTTGTTGTGGAAGCGACTTGTCCCTGCAGTCTTGGAAGGAAGCAGTGATGCATCCCCTCCTCAAGAGGCCTTTGTTAGACCCCATGTGCTGGACAATTTTTGCCCCATCTCCAGCCTTTCCTTTTTAGGAAAAGTGACAGATGAGATGGTTAGGCTGTGAGTACAGAGGGCCCTGAGGAAACTGATTATCTGGAGCCCTTTCAGTCAGGATTCAGGCCTAGACATAGCACTGAGTCAGCAATAACTGCATTTGTTGATGACCTTTGGAGGAACTACAACATGTATAGTATGGAACCAGAGACACTTTATCTTTCATCCTGAATCGGATAGCCTTTCCCCCTTTAGGACTGCACAGTTTGAGGGTCTTCCTGAACACTCAGATTTGAGGAGCAGATGGCAACTGTGGCTAACAAAGTATTTACACAGCTTCATTCTTGTGAATCAATTTCATCTCTAGCTGGATCAGAAAGTTTTTCAGACACTCACTTGTGGTTTAGTCACCTCATGCATGGATTTTTGCAATGCCTTCTATATGAGGCTGTCCTTGAATGAAGCTACAGCTAGTCCAGAATGAAGCTGCATAATTAATTATTGCCATGTCATATCATATCCATGTAGCAGTCTTGTGTGAGCTGCAATGGTTACCACTCATCTTAAGAGATGCAATTAAAGTTGCAGTTTTGTTTATTGCCTATAACAGTGATGGCTAACCTTTTCTGGACAGTATCCAAAGTGGGCATGCATGCGTGAATGCGCACACACCCAACCCCCCCCAAATGCAATTCACGCCCCATGCATGCACCCCATCCCCGGCACATGTGCCCCCCATGCACCTTCCCCCCTGTGCATGTTCATGAGGCCCCCATGCACCCTGCCCACCATGCATGCATGACAGATACTCAAAGATCAGCTGGCCAGCGGGAGGCACGTGCGCATGTGCAGCGGACCTGAACTGGGGCGATGGCTCACGTGCCCACAGAGAGGGTGCTGCATGCCACATCTGGCACACGTGCCATAGGTTTGCCATCACGGGCCTATAATCTAGAAAGTGTGATTAAGATTGCCTGTTCTCTAAAGTATCTTCCTAGCCAGTATAACTGGGCAGAATGGGGGTGTTCCAGGTCATTCATTAAACACTACTATATTATGGGACCCAGGAAGTGTAACTTTTCTTTGCAGACTATGAAATCCTATGGAATCCCAATTCCCGAGATTTGTCTGGCTTCCATTCCTGACTATATTTAAAAGAACCCTGAAAATCTATGTCTTCCCTTAGTTGTTGGATTGGAGTGAGTGATGGATTGCCTGTATTTTACCCTTTAGAATGGTTTTTTTCTAGATATTTTTGATTTTTAAATCTGTATTTTTTATTGTTTTTTGTATGCTATCCAGAATTATTATAGAGTTGTAAATTTAATAAAATAAATATCTAAATAAGCAAGTATGCAATGATATCATAACACACTACCTTTTGATATCCTTATGACTTATAATGGCCCAACTAATAATGTTCTTAAGAGCAGCTCAAGCATCACAACAAGCATACCTTGAGTCTGTGGGAAATATGGAGCCAACAATTTCGCCCTTTTCTTCTCATAGCCCTTCTGGGTAATATCTCCTAAAAAATATAAGGTAGCAAAATGTCAGATGTAATGTATCATAAATTCAGGATAGGCTATTTAAAGTTACTGTATGTACATATGCAGCTATGATCAACTGAACCAGCTTTATGCTCTACCAGCAAATAGCATTATTCAAGCCATTAGATAAAAAAGGAAGTGATTACCAACCCTTCTAAAAACCATTATTGGTATTCCACACCATTTAAATGATCATAAACTTTACATATTTTTCATCTGTTTGGACGTGATCTATTTTTAACCTCGCTCATGACTATTAATTTATTCAAAGCAAGCAGGATGGCCGTAAGAAGCATTGGGAGTCGTTATATAATATACACTAAAGACAAAGTAATGTAAAAAATGGGTTACACGATGATTAATTTATTAAATAAAGCTCTATGACACTGATCTGTTTGATATGCAGAAAGAACCATATGGCTGTTCCTTTTTTCATTCTAAATTTATATATTATCTGAATGTGTCAGTTCTTTAAGAAAGGCCAAATCCCTCACAAGGCTACATTATTACTTCAGGCTATGCAAACAGCGTGACAGAGTCGCTTCTCTCTCTCTCTCTCACCCCCTCTTATACCAAAAGAATCGACACAGAGAAATTCTGAGCGTCTTCCTCGATTCCCTCTTCCCCTTCAGAACCAAGCTGATGTTTACTTAATGTCGGTTGGATACTTTCTTCAAGGTCACCTTTGCATTCCTTTTACAGAATGGCAGAGAAAATTACTGAAACAAAGGATTAAGATAGAACAGAAAAAACATTAAGGCCAGAAACAATTGAAGTGCTTTTGTAGATTTGTCATCACCTTTTTGTAACTGTACCACCAAAAGATTATTTATAGAGGAGAGACTTAAGCATGGTCAACAGTCTAACAGAAACTGAATCAAAATACCTTAACTTATAGCAAAGATATTGCTTTTATACTCTTTTTGGTGCAAAAGTATTATATTGATACTGCTGAATAAAAACCCAGGTTCCAAAAAGAAGTAGAGTGCAAATCAGTAATAAATTAGGATTCTAGTCTAAGACATAATGGAGCAAAATTCATAAATGAGTGAACTTTGCCTTTGAATTGTGGTGTCTTGCAAAAAAATAAACTTTGGGATGGGTCTGCCTCATACTACTCTGTTTCCCTGAAAATAAGACCTCCTTGGATAATACGCCTGATCGGGCTTTTGAGCACATGTGCTATAATAAACCCTCCCCAAAAAATAAGCCCTCCCTGAAAATATTGCAACACAGCAGCAGCCATGAGGTGACCACGCTCGCCGCCTCCTGCTCCTCAAAAATAATAAGACCTCCCCAAAAATAAGGCCAAGTGCTTATTTCGGGGTGGGGGTGGGTCAAAAGAAAATAAGATCCTGTCTTATTTTCAGGGAAACATAGTATGCCAAACAATGACAACAGCAGATCTTCCTGCTGTTATATAAACCTACATAAATGTTATTTCTGGATTTTATACTAAATTTCACAGGTACTTTTTATTTATTGAAGTATTTAAATCTATATACTCAAGATCTTTTAAAACATTACAATCCATAAAATAGAAGAAAATAATGGCACACGATTAAAATACTTTAAAAAGATTAAAACAATTTATATAATAAGTACTGAAGCACTAATTTTCTCAAGGGACAGGAGAAAAAAACAAAATGTAGTTGTTGACACATGAAATAGTAAAAAGAGGACTCCACCTGGAACTGAGCAGTAAACACACCCTGGTCTCCAGGATAAGGACATTCTGATGTTAAACACCTCCATAGGAGAGGCTCTTGTTCCTATGTAACCATATAATACACTTTCAAGCTTAAGGGCGAACACATTACTGATAGAAATGTTGTATTGGAGGCTTAAGCAGTTTAAGGCTTTAAATGGCAAAACTAGTGAACTCCAGCACAGGAATTATATTTTAAATCATTCTAATCATTCTCTCCTGTAATTCTTAAAACTTAATTTACTTGGTAGCTGCAGTCACTGCAATTCCTCTAGCCTTAGTGTTACATATTCTAGATAGCAACCTCAAGGCAGCATTTAATAGTGCTTTGAAGTCATCTTCAAGGAGAGGGCTTGAGGCCACATCAGTATCCTTGGGGAGGCTTGCAAGCATAATGTAAACCAAGGAAGCAGGACTCAGAAAAGTTATCTTTAATCTTCCTCCAGATCTATTGAACTACAATGTTCAGAATACAGTCTGATTATTATGATTTTACACTTTAAGGTAAAGCCATTATAGTATAGTATGTTGAAGGCTATATTTATTATGTTGAAGGCTGTGTCAAAAAAAAAACAAACCTCAAACACAAGTGAACCACAACTAATTGTATTACTTTTCTTAATTTCTTTCTCCTCTAGAATTTAAATAAATATAAAACATTGCTATGTTGTTATCCATCCATTCATCTCCGTAACTTTATTGTTTTTTAATTATGAAAAGAATAACACTACTCCACTGTGTTGTCAGTAAAATGCCTCCACTAGAAGGTACAGAGATAGGGAAGCTTACGAGCTATACCATTGCCCCATTAAGTCATGATTTTTGAACTCTTTCCAAATGCATTTCAGAATAATATTTTTTATAACTGCTTTGGGTAATTTCCATATAGTTTAGTTCAAAACAGTTACCAAGAGAATATTTGCCATAACCAGCATCATTTTCTATGGTATTTCAGCTTCCACTTATTTACCGTATTTTTAGAGTATAAGATGCTCTATAACAGTGTTTTTCAACCTTGGCAACTTGAAGATGTCCGGACTTCAACTCCCAGAATTCCCCAGCCAGCGAATGCTGGCTGGGGAATTCTGGGAGTTGAAGTC